TCCTCCCCCAAATCATGGCACATGCCCATCTCTAGCCTGTCTCCCTGCCTCCTTCTGCAGTGATGCAATTTCACAGGACAACCCAGTGACCAAAACAGACTTCTGTCCTGAATATGTTTGGGTTTTTTAACTCCCTGGCCACCGTTATATATTACAAGTCATTAAAATGATTGCTGAGGGACCTTTCCTTCAGACACCATTATCAGGTAATCTCATTAGCCCAAGTTCAGACCAGACACTGTTCCCATGACTACCTTTTGGTCATGATCTGTATTAACTTTCCCCACATCACCCCAGAAGGGAATACAGAGTGTTCACACACTTTAGGGAACATAAAGTTCTAAAAAAGCCCAGAAACTTGAAATAAAAATGGAAGTCTCCCCATTCTTCAAGCAGAGCACATTAGATGGTGTATTAATAGACGGCCCGAGTGAGAAGGTGAAGCTCAACTGGTTTCAAAAAGGTCTTTGCCATTTTCTACTAGCAATTTCTCAGACAAATTGCAGACCTGCAGTAACTCTAGAACCATGGAGCAGCCTACATGTGATAGGTGTTTGCATAAGAATCTTCTTATAATTATATATTACCTAAAGTCTAGTCATTGTAAGATAGAGTAGAAGATAAAAGTATTTAAAACAGGAAGACTAAAAATACATTACTGTGACCAATTTCTAAAAAAAAATATAAATCTCTTCAATTAAAGGCTCTTTTACATATTCCCGTCTATGCAACATGAACCTCAAGCAGTTCATTGCACTTTTTCTATTTACTAATTTTATATAATTATAAGCACACTTGTACAGTTTCTTCCTTTTTTTTTTTTTTTTTTTTTTTTAATCACTGCAGCTGGTAGGGAGATGATATACCTCATTATCTTATTCTGTGGGTCATCTAAAATGGATATTAAGTAATTCTGCCTCCTACAGCTTTGGTACAGAGCCAAGGAGAACTCAGAAAAGTAAGATGCCTGACTTCAAAAAGAGGATGCTTTTTATTTTCAACATAGAAGTGTGTTTTCACATGCCATGCTTCTTTCAACAGTTTTCTCATAGCTAAACAGACACTGGAAGAGAGAAAATCATAACCTCCCGAAACACCTCCAGGTAGTTCAGCTGGGAGACAAGTTTCAACTCCAGAGCCCAACACGCTACCACGTCATTACCAACAGGCAGACTGGCACCACTCAACGAGCAACACAGGCTCCTCTCTCTGAACAGGGATTCTGAGCAAGGATTTTTGTGACTGTGATATCAGTAGATGCATATTCAAATCAAAGCTTAATAAAGATTTTCATACATACATTGAGCTTCTCTGCCTACAGTATATTTGAAAGATTTTCAGTATCATCTTTTGTCCTAATCTGGTTTTATGCTTCAGCGTCCTTGCGTTCTAGTTTGTGCCACTGCTCTCCAATCACCTTTTATTCAGAAGACTGCAAATTGGGGATGGTCTCAGCTGGGGTTGGGACTTCTCAACCCCCCATTGCCTGGTGCTGACCTGTGGCCGTGACAATGGGGGGAGCACAGTGAGGCCATTTCACAAGCATCCAGCCGGCCGTAACCCAGCTCAGCAAGAAGCCTACTGAGTAATAAACTACACAGGCTTAAGTCACAGTGCTTGATGAAATATGACCCCGTGGGACAACCCTGCGTACTGACCTACTCCATCAGTGAACAAGTGGCCAGTCAATGCTCCTGGAAAGATAATTACCCACCCATCTAAGCACACAGGCATTTTTGTCCCTTGAAGTCAAAGGGGCAAACATCTCTACAGACAAGGCAAACTGGGGTATTTTTACCCATGGAGCTCTTTTTGCAATGGACGTACTAGGGAATGGCTTCCTCTGGAGAGAGCTGCCAGAAACTTTATCCATGCTTTTCTGTGTTGTTTTCCTTGTAAATCAGCTCTCTCACAGAAAACATTACACTAACATGACCAATTCCAGATACTCAACAACGAAACTCCTGAAAAGTCTTACCCAGACATTCTCCTCATCTATCTGACCAGCTGAGTAAACTCGGAAAAGTAACTGAGGACTTGCATACACATACACAGGAAGATATTTGGGTTTAAAATAAATCCCCAGAATACTGTAACCCTCAGTGCTTTACATTGCTATGACTTTCAACCCTTACTGAGGTATTTCTGTCAGATTAAATTAATGATGCTAGCAAGCAAACAAACACCATGTCTTGCACACCTAAAACACTGTGCATTGCCTGTGTGGACTCCACTTTGAATAATGCAAAATGTCAACCCTACGGAGAGGCTTTCTGTTTCGGAAGGAGAACACCTAGTGAATGTGTTGGGAAGCCTACACAGGCTTTGTGTCTCAGTGCCCCGAAACCATCTCAACTTCTCAACCCAACCAACACTCGTTATTAAATACTGTTCTGCAGGCACGTACAAATCAGCAGCGAGAAAAAGAGATGGCTCAACAAGGGAGATGGGGAACAAATGACATTGCCTATTACTGGAGGTGTTAATCCCTGTATAGTTGTACTGGTAGGAAAATGTGCCCCTCCTGAAGACACATGGCATGGGCTGACAGAGAACCTGAACTCAAAGAGTATCCAACAAGAAGGAAAATTCCAGCATTTGACAAGTGTGGGTGATCTACAGTTTAGGCTGAGGAGTTTTTTGTGTCAAGTACTACCCGATGGCAAATGTACTCTTTACTTTGAAATGCCCGCAAGTCCAAAGTGAAATTATGCCAATTTTTTTCCTAACTCCAAACTTCATTAAGTTGATGCCTGCCTGTATAGGGCTAAGCCTGTAAGGCTCATGTTTTTCTGAAGTAACATTTTCCTGTACAGTCTATTTTCTATTACAATGACTGGATTGTAGAGCTGAAATGAATGTCAGAATTGTTTGCTGGATACATTACCAGATAACTTCTTTTCTGAGGCCCTGAAACAGAAATTAGGTTTGCAACAGAGATCATTTTTGGTTTTCTGAAGCAAAGGTTTCATATCATATAAAACATTCCTAGACAGTGATTTGCATTATGCATTTTGCTCACTAGGTATACACCCAGGCCTATTTATACAAGAGAATTTCCTCCTCAAATTGCTACATATTTGTCTTGCAGATTTTGAAAATTACATTTAGAGAAAATAAAAACATTTGGAAATAACTCTTCTACAAACCCAAAAGATTTTGCACCAGCTTTAAGTCTGTGAGAAGGTGGAGTTACTCATGAGCCCGGGGGAGGTGAGGATGCAGCAGGCCTGTGCGGTACCCTGTCTCCGAGGATGGCCAACAGAAACGAGAGGAAGCCAGTCGAGAAGTGTCCTGCCCTGGTCAGCATGTCGAGGGGGGTGCCAAGGGGCAGAAACCGGGCGGAACCATGTCACACCAACCCTGTGCCGTTCATCCCACTTGCTCACGTGGTTGACTTCCTCATGAGGACCTGGGTACTCTGATTTCTGAGGATGATCAGCTCCTCTGTTTGATATTCCCAGCCAGACAGTGAGAAGCATGTCAAATATGCATATATATATCTACATGCATTTACATATACATATAAAATTATATGGGCATGGAGGAGGGACGTATTATGGCAGTCAGGTTAAGCCATCTCACTTTAGTTCCTGATCATCCTGCAGAACAAATGTTTGATTTCCAAGTAAAATACTCTTTCACTCCCAACAAGGAAGACTGGCTCTTCCACTCTGCTAGAGAAGAAGTGGGAAAACTTTTGAGGCTCTCTTCTCCCAGTGGCACCAGGGGACATTCCAGACCCAAGCAGTGAGTATCTTGCTGCATGCTCCTTGGATACTGAATGACAAACTCATTGTCTCCATACCAAAATATCTGGCTGTGGCTCTAGGGTAAGACTACAAGCAGGCTTAAATGTATACAGTAAAGCAGGCTGGAATGTATATGGTGTTTCTTTATGGTTGTGTGAAGGAAATAATGCTCCTGAACTTGATGAACCAAAGCCGCATTTCTCTGAAGTCAAGAACTTAGACACTAAGGACCCAAGGGGGGAAAATGCCAGGTTCCTACTGAAACCAAAGGGGATTTTGGCACTGACTTCTATAGAAATGTCTCTAGTTGTTGTAGTGAGCTATAACTGGATGAAAGCTCAAAAGATAATCTTTCAGATTCAGTCTAGGAGACCGTGTGTGGGTGTGTTTATGGCTATAATTTATCACTCTGTGGTAGAGACCCACAAGTCCACCAGAGAGAGAAAGGCCCTCCTGTGTGAGACAGGCCACATGTTTTTCCTGGAAAACAGCAAGAGGGATCAATGAACCCATAGGAGAGCAGATTTACCACATAGCTGAACTGCAATGCTTGGAGGATGCTCCTTCTTGCAGTCCTTTTTACAAATTTACTTGGAGCCATTTGTGGGCCAGCCCTGACTGGTTTCCAGTACAGCATTACTTGGTTAAAAAGACTTTTTTGGGGGAAGAACCCTGGCAGTTTCTTCCTCAAAGCCAGCATTACCTTACCTTACACGTCCTCTCAAAACGTATTGAATTAATTGACGAGTTTTTAAAGACATCTATCTGGAATGCAATGTATTCATTCAATAAATCTCTATCATCTCTGTGAGCAAAAATTAACGTCATTAATCCTACTTTACAAACTGGGAAGCTGAAATACAAAGAGGCAAAGTAATCTAACAGAGACAGTCAGAGCACAAAATATAACTAGATTCCTTGTGTCCAGCACAGATCACCCAGCTGGAGGGTATCTCAGTGGTCAGAGCCCAGCTCACAAACATCCCTCTTCCAAAAAACCTGACCTTACATCTCAGGCTAGATTAGAAAAATAAAGCATAGATATCAAAGGCCAAATTCCAGCCCCATTCAAAACACACTCAGTTGAGTGTTCGTTCAGCAGAGGTTAACACTTGCAGTGATTTTTATGGGCAATATTTTTTACCATAGGATTTATGGCATACAAAGGCATGACTTCTCAAGCAGTTTCAATAGCTGTGTTATATTTAACAGTACCAAATAAAAACATAGCAGTTGGATCAATATTATATTCATATTTTATTCCATAAATAAACTTCATTGGTTTGTAAGCTGGTTGTTTTTACTTCCAAAATGTACAAATAAAGATTTAAATATTTTTGGAGGAAACATTACAGATGGTTTTAGTTCTGCAGTTTTGATGCAAACATACTTCTTGGCACCACTTCTTAATATGCCATTTCTATAAATACTTAATGCTCATAGAAGTGGAGTAAAATATACATTACAATGAAAAACACAAAAAACAGTGTTATAATCAGAATTTTAAGTATTACTCTTTAGCAGGTAAGCTTTCTATGTAGATTCACTATATAAACAGGAATAGAGTTCTTCAGAGAGCTAAAATACTGTTCCCTTTTGGTATGTTAAGTATTAATGTGAAACTGCTGCCGCTATGATTATGTGGTAATGCTATTTCAGCTAGTTTCTAAACATAACAAATAATGATATTCATTTTTCTTTACTTCAAGGATTTAACTCACAGGAAATCAATTAATAGAATACTTCTGAGAAATAAGTTTTCCAGATCTTATAAACCCAGCTCTATTGCTACAGAAACATATACTTTTTAAAAGATTAGATAAATAATACCACTGTAATTCAGTATTTGCATTAAAAATTCTTAAAATTATTTCCTCTGGGTAAACTGACCAAAAGGTGATGCTCTGAAACAGCTGTGTTCCCTTTTAGACTGTTTTTGATTACTTGAAAGATGCCTTGAAATTTCAATTGAATATAAATGATCTTTCTTTTTATAAAGAGCCAAAGATAAGAAAAATACCTCCAGGTAATTGAGATAATGGTAAATTTTATGGCTTATCTAGCAGTCAAAAGCATTCAATATCCAATTAGGATGATGGGCAAGAGAATCCTTTGTCACTCAGTGTTTCTTTGAAGGAGCTGGTCCAGTAATTGCTAAGAAAAAAACAATGCAAAACAGCCTTAAGATACTGTTAAAATACATGAGTTAGTTCTAACAGTAGAAACCTTCAGTGATACTGTAGGTGAGGTGGTATTAGCATTTTCAGACGTCAAATCTACTGGCTACATTGCTCAAAAAAAAAAAAAAAAAAAGCCCTAAAAGCTTTTTCATCTTGGACAGAAAAGTTGTAATTGGAGGAATAGAGCACTTAAACAAGGAAAAACTGGTAGTTGTGTGCAACGTGGGGCAGGATTATCTGGGAACGTCTCAGATCTGCACCTGGATTAACTGCGCTAATGCAGCTTTCTACCACAGTTATCTAATTACTCATTTTTGAAAAACAAAAGTCTAGAGTGCTTGTTCCAACACAAGGTTCAGCTGTTAATTCAAGTTTAAGGAAGTAACTAACACCAAGTTCAAGATTTAAAACACATCCTTTGCTGTCAGGGTTTGCACATGGTTAGCACAGGCTCCCCAGGCAGGTGCTGCCTCTGTGGACCCCCCTTCACAGGTAAAGAGGGGTTAAAAAACTATATTTGGCACTCATGGTAAATCCTTACCTTTTTAAAGATCTCAACACGCAGTCTGTTACTCTGGATGATGATCCGCTTCTGTTTTTCTTCTTGTTTCTTTTTTACTTCAGGTAAATTGTTGTAAATCCTGGAATGGATTTAGAAACTTAGCTTCACATGTCATCCCCAGGGTTCACAAATAATTTGTTTTTCCTATAGGAAACGCTTGCCTTCAATGCAGTACTTGTCATTAATGGGCATCTCTAAGTACTTGAATTAGATTTATGACATGGGAATTATAAATTATTATCAATAATGGTTTTGTATAAAATCTGGCTTGTTGGAAAACACTCCTAATTTTGAACTAAAAAGTAAAGAAAGAGACGGGATCAGGTTATCTCAATGCAGCAGCATAATTCTAGACCAGCTTCTAACGAGCTCAGTGGAGTTGGTTTCAATTTATAGCAACATAATTCAAACCAGAATCTGGCCTGTACACTTCTTCATATTTATGTCACAAAATTAAAACCAAGCAATTATTTTCAAGTATTTTTCTAAAATATATGAAAAACATCATTATGAGAATGTAGACTTAACATTTTTTCACTGTCATTAGGAATTCTTTTTAGCAAGGAGAACATAATCTGCCCATTTTAAAATTTTGAGTTGCCCTCAAAAAGGTGATTTCTGGTCTGATCTTTTTCCATTGAAACCAATGATAAAATTCCCAGCAGTTTGTAAAGAAAGTTGGACCTTCCTTTGCAGCAGTCCTGTTCTTTGCATGCATACAAAGCATGTTTACTTCTGATTTTTCCTCATAATATTTTGCAATACAGAGTTCTGATTTGGCTAGAGATTGTATTTTGGAGAAGATAAACAGGACACATCTTGAGCATTCTTAAAAACAGGATGAATTCTGCATGGTAGTCATTTGCAGCTTTTCTTACTGTAAACGATGGTATGAAGTGCAATGCAGTCAAAGATCAGGCACCACCTTCCTAGTAGTTTGCTGTACTTCCCATACTGTGTGCCATAATCCGGGTGAAAAAACCCAACAAAGTGGCTGTACTGCTTACATTTTTGAGTTTCCAACATGAGGTACCTGTCAGGGATTTTGCTTTCACGCCATGGGTACCCCATGCTGTCTGAAACTGCTAGAAAAGGGGTGTTCAAAGGGCAGGGTTACCCCAAATCTATCGAACTGATGCAGTGAAAGAAAACCAAGGGGTGGCAAGCAGCATGACAGACCAACCCTCCCGCGTATGAAGATAATGTGGGAATGTTCTGCCTTAGGTGTGAGATGGCAGTGATTCTCAGAGAACTCTAAACCGAAGTGAGTTGTACCTTTTCGATCTCATATGCATCTCTTTCTCTGGAATGAATCTTTCCTTTGGTCTGAAGAGGTTGTCTAGCAAAGAGAAAATAAGGTTAATATTGGAGGAATTTGCATTTACTGAAATTTTAAATGTCACATTCCATGTAGTCCTGATATGCTATTTCTGATTAAATTTCTGATGGCTTAAGGCCAGATCCAAATCTCCACAGGTCAATGGGAAGGCATTTAACAACTTCATCTGGAGCTGAATTAGCTGCTGGAGCTGCCCTACAGAAAGGGAAGGATGGGTAAGACCCATATCAACCACCTCCACTGCAGAGTTAATTTATTTTAAATGCATATGACTGTCGTCATGTCCCATGCAGCTGAGTATGCCCTTTATTCAGATCAAGAACCAGCGATGATTTCTGCTATATCAAGTGATCCATTTTCCCCACGTGCTCCCACAGGCAATTGCACCCACGCACACCGGCCGCATCCTCAGCTGGTGCGTGTTGGGAACCTGGCCTGGTATGATCATTTATGATTCAATTTACACCTGTTTTGCTGGGCTGTGAATAATTATGCTGAGCATTAGGAGGAGGAAAATTACATTACTCTTTCCTGATCAAATATGAAGATATCTGTGATGATTCCAATCAGCATTTCCCTGGATACAGGAAAATAATTTTGGATCTTAGTGGTCGGTGAGTCTCAGGACTAGGTAATTTTAACACCTTCCTTGCAAAAATGGTTTCTGAATGAGAAGGAATGGTGTTCATACAAGCTGGGAAGCCAGTAAATACATAACTAGAACCGATTCTTGATGAAGGAGACTGTGTCTAACCACGTGTATCAGGCAGAGCAGGTAGGAGAGGACTGCTGCCTGCACAGCTACATTTTTTAGATGTACACCAGGATGATGAAAGAAAAAAGTCAGGGGAAGGGGAAGGGGCAGGGTTCCCCTTGTGTGCAACAGGACGCATCCAGAGCAGGGGATGGAACATCCTGGCGGTGCACAAGCTGCCACCATGATGCACACAGGAGACGTGGATAGTTGTAACTTGAGCTTCTCAGCTCAGGTGTACGAAATAAATGGTTTTACGTTCTGGTATCTGAACACAAGGATGACCAGAGCGTTGCCTACGCCCAGCTGGGTTCAGGTGGTTTCCCCAGGGCTTTGAGGGCAGGGCTATGATGCCCTAGGTAGTCACAGCAATTTGAACATCAAAGGTAGCTCCCAGTATCTTTGCAGAATATATGTATAAGATAAATACATGTGCAAAGTTCTAAGCCCTTCCATTTTCCAAGGAAGTTTAGAAGACATAATATATGTCACAGCAGGCACCATGTCGGCCTCTTTCTGCCATCTCACCGAAGAGACAAAATACAATAATCAGGGCAGAGAAGTGAATACAGAGAATAATTCATTCCAGAACTGCCCAGTGCAGACGCTGGTCCTGAACAGATCCAGCAACCACTGCCCCAGAGAAGACCCCCTTCCCCACCAGGTTTGCTTCCCAACTGGTTAAGACACCAAAAGTTTCAGGGATATTTATGGGAGACGCGTTAACAACCAGACAGCCCTGAGCAGCTTATGGGACTACACCAAGAGGCAAAGATGTACTCAGGTAACTGTTTTATTTTTTTTCAGGAAAACGCTACATGTCCTTTAAGGTCACTGCTGTGCCTCGATGTAAATAGAAAAGGGAGTTTTGCAGCAGTTTCTATGCTGAACTGGTACAGTTTTCAAAACACAAATCGAGAAAGGAGGGGAAGCTGCAAACCCTCCTCTGCCTGAGGACTAACTTTTCTCCACTCAGCGGTAGTCTACACTTAATCATGTCTATTAAATCTTCAACACACACAAGGAACATGCTCAATTTGCTAGGGAAATATAATATGCCTTTTATTTATTAGGTTTTTTATGTTCATTTACATGTTGATTAACTTAAAAGGAACAAACACTTGGATGCTATTGCAGTCCAAGTAACCCTGAATCTTAAGGGAGCAGATTGTCTGTGACCCGAACAGTCCTGGCAAAGGATTAGGGTCCAGGCTGATTGATTTTCTGGGACCAGTGTGGATCCCAGCACACTCCAGAGCAGCCTCATCATCATCCCTTGCTGCTCGAGGTTGCACACCTCATTCTGACAAAACTAATTGTTTTAGGGATCCCTCCACCACCACTTTTTTAATAAATAAAAGCTGTTAATGACACATTAACATTTTCAGACCTCTGTCCGTAACCAGCAGAACATGCAGGGGATGAAAAACCCAGCTGGAGATCTGCAGGCCCGCGACCTATCTTGTAAACAGCGTGCCAAGTTAATCTGTATTTTTTCTCTGAGTTGTTAAGACAGGCTGGCCTCTGTATTTGAGAGGGGAAGCATCTCAGAGGCAGAGAGCTGCGTGGGTGCTGGCACACACAGCTGTTCCTCCAGAATAATCCTCTCCTGATGGTATAGAAACTGTCCTGAAAGGCATCAGACCCATCAGTGCCCATGATTCTGCCTGGAACTAGGTATATGACTGTGTTGGTGGCTTTGAAGGGAAGGATTAAAAAGACACTCTGGTGAAAATGCTCCAAGAGAAAAATAAATCTATTTTGGTTATAAAAATACCCTATGTGAAGCAACTTGGAGTCATAACACTTAGGGGTAAAAATTCAGGTAGTATCTCTCAGCTGACACTCAGGTCACTATGTATAAAAAAGTCACATGTAAGCATCAAGCAGAAATAGGGCTAATCCTTGATGGATTTTAGGATTAGGATTCAAAAATTAACTGAAAAGTAAATGAAAACTGGTATAAATGAGAAAATAAAAATCATACTTGCAATTAAATATTTGTTAATACTCAGTACTGAGAAGAAAGCGTATTTCAAAGGGGAAGAGCAGCACACGTGCAGACCTACAATAACCTGTTTAACATGATGACCTGAATTAACATTCTTTCCTATCAAGAGAAGAACAAAGTGTGGCATAAAGTGGACAATTTCCCAGGTTGGTAGTCTTCTAAATTATATTTTATCAAAGTTCCTTATAAAATTTCATAGCCTTGTGTTACTTTTGGAGAAAACTGTTCTGAAGGATAGAAGAGAAGGAATTTCAAAGCCGACATTCAGCATTTCCAGTGATGCACTGCAGTTAAAAAAAAGGTATAGACAGATAGGCATGAAACACTTCACTGGTGTTTTATTCAAACCTTGTGAAACTAATGAACTTCTGGTATTTACACCAAATCTGTGTGCAACAGTGGTCTGACACCTCCATACTGGGAGAAAGGAGCCACTTGATCAAGTTGTAAATGAAGGTAATTGGGTCATCACTGTAATATATTTTAACTAATGTTAAACTGCACCTCAGACAGGATGAGTAACTTCCCTGCTCAGGAAGTTAGTAAATGTTTAGACAGAGCAGAGGTAAAATTATTTTATCACAACCATCCCCTGACTTCCTATTTACCACTGAATTACTGAAACATTTAAAGTAGAAAAAGAGTGGCAAAATTTATGAAAGGCTAAACTTTGCCCGTCAGAATATACATACTTTTTCTTCTAACATGAATGTAAATTCTCAAAGTTTGTTAGATGTTAAAATGTGCCTTTGAGGATGTGTTGCCAGTCCCTGCAAAGCAAAGCGCTGATAGTGGTGGTTCTCTAATTAAACTGCTTTTTTACTGAACTGAAAAAATAATTCACCAAAATTCCACTTGCCCAGAGAAGTCCTAAGACATAAAAGATTTTTTTTAAATACCACTTTTTTAAAATCAAGAGTCCCCTACAAAATAAATTAGCCTTGAATCTAAGATAAATGTCAAGGTGGTATTCAGCTTAGCACACCCCTAACACTTGACTGGGAATTCATCCAGAGAATATAAACTAGTGCTTACACCCAGGGGTGCTGCCCAAACTTTTGCATATTGTACATCAATGATTTTTTGCAATGAATTACTTTAGCTGCAGTCAACAGATGAGGTTTTGGTGTTATCTATAAAAAATACAATAATCCATTAGTTAAAGTGTCAATGGTCAGCCTGCCTGGACTTTATGCTCATCTCAGAGAAATTCTGAAGCTTAAAAGTAGTCCTTCACCCAAGAGGACCCACAGAAAAGTGATTCATGAGCTTTTCAACCGCTCAGGTCTGTCCTACACTGTGGCTATTGAGATTTCTGTCCCTCCCTAATATTTCAGTCTTAATGATGGAAAACATCACTAATATCTCTAGAAAAGCTATAATGTTTACAGGTTTATGAAAACATTTTCATACTAAACTAATTTTGGGCATGATGCAGGAGATTTCAGTCCCCTCTGTCCAAATGATACTTGAACATTCACGGATTTTATCCAGAAAAAAAATTAGTTAGCATCTCACCTGGACTTCCTAAATCACTCTTGTTTGTTTGGAGCATGTAGTCTTGAAAAGCATAACATTTCTTTCAAAAAATAACAATTAATGGAGAAGGCATGACAGATCTTGGTGAATTCATCCAAAGATTAATTAAATCTTTGGTAAAATTTGCACTAGCTTCTTAATCCCAACTTCTTTAGTTTCAATTTCGAATCATGAGTGAAATCAGACCTTTTACTCCTAGATTATAAAGTCTATCATCGAAAATTCAATTTTACTTTTGGCTACTTCAAGACTCCAATGAAATTATCCCTCAGAAAACTGTCTGAACTTTGTGAGTCGCCCATTATAAGGCACATTGTTTCAATGCTGTCATTATCCACACAGAAAGCTCTTCATATTTGAAGATTTACCAATTTATAGCCACCTTCCTTGCACAGAGGCTGTCTATCTGCCCCTTTCACAAGGATGAGGGCTGGTCATCCCATTCACTGCATCACCTCCTCCCCTGTCATCACAGTGAGTCCGAGCATCGGGCTCCCAGGGGACAGTGTCACCCACTGCCAGTGACCTGCAATGTGATGCCATGTTTAGCTGACTCATAGGCACTGTTCTAAGCAATATGATGAATAATAATATCATAAAAATAGGTCATTCCTCTTCTTAATTCACTTATCTGGCTGCAGCTTAGTCCTTAGTCAGAGCTGTCAGCTTTAACCAAGAGGCCGAGTGCCAGGAGGA